CCCTGTGATTTCTATTTATGCCCCTGTAATTAGGTTTCTTTGGCAATAAAATGCATACTTTTGTTTTATAAATTACAAAATGTCTCTAATTATACCATTTCAAAACTAGCACTCACATGGTTATTGACTAAACTGAAAATTTGAAGTGCACTCAAAGTGAATTTCAAATATAAGACCAAGTTAGTCAAAATCGAGGCGTTGCTGGTTTAAAGAAAGTCGTGGCTATTTTTACCTTGAATTTTAAACTTTAACCCTGTAACAAAATCCCCTATTGAACAGACTATGCGAACCAGCCTGTTCGGTTATTTAGACGTGTGTGGAGTGATTTCGTGCAAATAGCGAGAAAACTAATAAACTGCCGAATCACCCGACCTCCTACTGAGGTCGTGTGGTGCCCATTAACCACCCAGACTTTGCGGTTAACCACAGAGTAATTGGGGAACAGCCTGGTGGTCCGCGTTCGTCTGCCGAACACATGGCAGTCACCATTTTAGATTGTCGAATGCCCTGCGGTAAATGGCGGCGATGCACTGGAACTCTTTTTCGGATACTTATTCTGCCGAACACCGCTGATACCTACCAAGGTCCTCGTTCATACGGTGGAAAACACACGAATGCCGGAGACCCTGCACCGTTTGGGACTTGGATGTATGCAAAAGTGACCGACCCCAGATAGCTACAGTATGGAACTCTTTGTCGGATACAAACACGCGAACGGCCGGTGAAGTCCAAACTTCAGTCGACATTTTTGAGAACTGTGTTCGTGGGATCTGAGCGCTATTCGCCTAGAATATGCACTCAGATCCAAGCTATCTGGGGGTATGTGGGACTTAAATTTTATGTTCTGTAAAATGTAAGTTATAGATTTTTATGCTGTTTTGTGAATATAAGAAAAGCCATGCTTCTTTCTACCTGGAGATAATTAATGCTCTCTTTACTACCTTAAGTTAATTATCTCCAGGATGGAAAGGAGGGAGTGATCTATGTAAAAGGGGAGTGCTTATGTTATAGCCACTGCGATTGGCTACTGTAATTCTTTTGTCCCAGTCTTCCATCTGGTCCCCTAGGGGAGTGTCCACCAGGTGGGAGACCTGCATAAATACCGGGCAGGTAGCCCACAGTAAATCAGATTGTTTTACCCCTTCATGAAGTCTCGACTCATGTTTGGGGGATTGGGAGTTATAATCACTTTGTTTCAGCTGGATTTCGGGAGAAGCTGCAAGGATCATCACTGCACGAATAGAAGGACCCTTTACAAACCCCTTAAGACCAGAGGACGTACTATTACGCCCTATTTTAGGCGGCTCTAAATGCCACCAGGGCGTAATAGTACGCCCTCCGGTCTTTCTTTACTTACCCGGTCGCCAGCGGTCCCACGCCGGCGATCGCGGTTGGGGGGACTCCCAGGGAGCCCCCCGCAGCAGATCTTCCTCTTGGCAGCCCCCCCGGACATGTAAGAGTGGGGTCCTTGCGAGGACCTCACAATCACATGGCCGGGATAGCTGGCTGCAGCATTGCCAGCAGGGGGGCTGCCTGTAATGACAGGTGGTACCCCTGCTGGTTGGAAATAATAATAAAATAAAGTCAAAAAGTGTAAAAAATATATTATATATATATGATCTAAGTATATATATATATATATACACATATACATACACACACATACACTGTCTAGGTGTATTTTACTATTAATATATATATATATATATATATATATATATATATATTAAATTACACGTAGACTGATACTGATTAAATTACTGTTATATATATATTTATATATATAATATAAAAAATTAAATATGTAAATACGTTAAAAAATAAAATTTAAAGAATTATTAAAAATAAATAATTAAAAAATATATAGATGTGTGTTATTTCGTTCTAAATGTATTGTGATATTAATATATATGTATTTATATCAAAATACACGTAGAACGAATATATATAACTATATACATAAATATATACGTATATATCACTATATATATATATATATATATATATATATATACACACATATACACACATATACACCTATATATAAATGAAAATATTAAAAAAAAATGATATATATATATATATATATATATATACACACATATATATTCACATACGTATATATATATACATATACTAATTCTACATATATATTCATGTAATATTTTTACATAATTAGGTATCTTAATTAATTACAATTAGTGGGACCTGCCTGACAACCCATGCCGAAAGTAAAGGGAATTTAATTTGTTAACACTATATTTAACCCTATAACTTTCCAAGACACCATAAAACCTGTACATGGGGGGTACTGTTCTACTCGGGAGCAGGGGCGGACTGACCACTCGGGCATATCGGTCATGGACCGAGGGCCCGAGGCAGTCAGGGGCCCGGCAGCACAGCCTTGCTCCAGCTGGAGAGATCAGAGATCTCTCCAACTGGAACGGCAAAATTAAAAAAAATAAAACTTTTTAATTGATAGGCTGTGGGGCCCCTGATGCAGCTTGGGGCCCCACAACCTACCGCCCTGTAAATCACCCCCTATGAGACCTGGCAGCTTCAGCAGCTCTCTGCCAGGTCTCCTTCTCCCAGTCCCGCGGTGCTCTGTGTGATGGGAGAGGGACAGGAAGTGACATCACTTCCTGTTTACTCCTCTCACACAGAGCCCAGCGAGGGGAAGGAGCAGCAGCCAGGGAGAGCAGAGGAAGCACAGGTAGGCTCTAATCACCCCCCTCCCCCGTCACTAATCACCCCCCCCACTGTCACTAGTCACCCCCCTGTCACTAGTCACCCCCCCTGTCACTAGTCACCCCCCTCACTGTCACTAGTCACCCCCCCTCACTGTCACTAGTCACCCCCCCACTGTGTCACTAGTCATCCCTTCCCTCACTCACTTTGTCACCCCTGTCACTAGTCACCCTCACTGTCACCTGGGGTCACCCCTGTCACTAGCTCACCCTCACTGTCACTAGTCACCCCCTGTCACTAGTCACCCCCCTCACTGTCACTAGTCACCCCTGTCACTAGTCACCCCCACTGTCACTAGTCACCCCCCCGTCACTAGTCACCCTCACTGTACTGTCACTAGCTCACCCCCTGTCACTAGTCATCCCCACTGTTACTACAGTCACCCCTTCGTCACTAGTCACCCCCACTGTTACCAGTCATCCCCCTGTCACTAGTCATCCCCCCACTGTCACCCCTGTCAGCTAGGGGTCACCCCTGTCACTAGTCACCCCCCGTTACTAGTCACCCCCCTGTCACTAGTCACCCCCCACTGTGTCACTAGTCACCCCCCTGTCACTAGTCACCCCCCACTGTCACTAGTCACCCCCCCCCTGTCACTAGTCACTCACTCTGTCACCCCTTCCCTCCCTTACTCTGTCACTAGTCACCCCCTCCCTCACTCTGTCACTAGTCACCCACTTACTCTAGTGACAGAGGGAGGGATGGGGTGACTATTGACAGAGGGAGGGATGGGGTGACTAGTGACAGAGGGAGGGATGGGGTGACACAGTGACAGAGGGAGGGATGGGGTGACACAGTGACAGAGGGAGGGATGGGGTGACTAGTGAGAGTGCGGGAGTGGGTGACTAGTGACAGAGGGAAGGATGGGTTGACTAGTGACAGTCACCACCTCCCTCACTCTGTCACTAATCACCATCTCCCTCTGTCACTAGTCACCCCCTCCCTCATTCTGTCACTAGTCACCCCCTCCCTCATTCTGTCACTAGTCACACCCTCCCTCACTCTGTCACTAGTCACACCCTCCCTCACTCTGTCACTAGAGTGAGGGGATGACTGGTGACAGAGTGAGGGAGGGAGTGGGTGACCAGTGACAGAGGGAGGGAGGTGGTGACTAGTGACAGAGGTGGTGACTGTCACTAGTCACTAGTCACCATCTCCCTCACTCTGTCCCTAGTCACCCCTCCCTCTGTCACTAGTTACCCCTTCCCTCCCTAACTCTGTCACTAGTCACCCCATCCCTCACTAGTCACACCCTCCCTCACTCTGTCACTAGTCACCCCCTCCCTCACTAGTCACACCCTCCCTCACTCTGTCACTAGTCACACCCTCCCTCACTCTGTCACTAGAGTGAGGGGATGACTGGTGACAGAGTGAGGGAAGGGGTGACTAGTGGCAGAGTGAGGGAAGGAAGGGGTGACTGGTGATAGAGTGAGCGAATGATTGGTGACAGAGTGAGAGAGGGGAACGACTAGTGACAGAGTGAGTTAGGGGGTGACTAGTGACAGGGTAAGGGACGGAGGGGGTGGCTAGTGACAGAAGGAGGTGGTGACTAGTGACAGAGTGAGGGAGGTGGTGACTAGGGACAGTCACCACCTCCCTCACTCTGCCACTAGTCACCCCTTCCCTCACTCTGTCACTGTTCACCCCCTCACTCTAGTGACAGAGTGAGGAAGGGGGTGACCAGTGACAGAGGGAGGGGTGACTAGGGACAGAGTGAGGGAGGTGGTGACTAGTGACTTGTGACAGTCACCACCTCCCTCACTCTGTCACCTGTCATCCCCTCACTCTGTCACTAGTCACCCCTTCCTTACTCTGTCACTAGTCACCCACTCCCTCCCTCACTCTCACTAGTCACCCCCTCTCTCACTCTGTCACTAGTCATCACCTTCCTTACTGTCACTAGTCACACACTCCCTCTCTCTGTCACTAGTCACACCCTCCCTCACTCTGTCACTAGAGTGAGGGGGTGACTAGTGACAGAGGGAGGGGATGACTGGTGACAGAGTAAGGGACGGAGGGGGTGACTAGTGACAGAAGGAGGGAGGGAGTAGTGACAGAGGGAGGTGGTGACTAGTGACAGAGTGAGGGAGCTGGTGACTAGTGACAGTCACCACCTCCCTCACTCTGTTACTAGTCACGCCTTCCTTCCCTCACTCTGCCACAAGTCACCCCTTCCCTCACTCTGTCACTAGTCACCCCTTCCCTCACTCTAGTGACAGAGTGAGGGAGGGTGTGACTAGTGAGAGAGTGAGGGAGGGTGTGACTAGTGACAGAGTTAGGGAGGGAAGGGGTAACTAGTGACAGAGGGAGGGGTGACTAGGGACAGAGTGAGGGAGATGGTGACTAGTGACAGTCATCACCTCTGTCACTAGTCACCACCTCCCTCCCTCTGTCACCAGTCATCCCCTTACTCTGTCACTAGTCACCCCTTCCTTCCCTCTCTCTGCCACTAGTCACCCCTTCCCTCACTCTGTCACTAGTCACCCCCTCACTCAAATGACAGAGTGAGGGAGGGTGTGACTAGTGACAGAGAGAGGGAGGGTGTGACTAGTGACAGTCACCCCCTCCCTCACTCTGTCACTAGTCACCCCTTCCTTCCCTCACTCTGTCACTAGTCACCCCCTCCCTCACTCTGTCACTAGTCACCCCTTCCTTCCCTCACTCTGCCACTAGTCACCCCTTCCCTCACTCTGCCACTAGTCACCCCTTCCCTCACTCTAGTGACAGAGTGAGGGAGGGGGTTACTAGTGACAGAGGGAGGGGTGACTAGGGACAGAGTGAGGGAGGTGGTGACTAGTGACAGTCACCACCTCCCTCACTCTGTCACTAGTCACCACCTCCCTCACTCTGTCACTAGTCACGCCTTCCTTTCCTCACTCTGCCACTAGTCACCCCATCACTCTAGTGACAGAGTGAGGGAGGGTGTGACTAGTGACAGTTAGGCAGGGAAGGGGTGACTAGTGACAGAGGGAGGGGTGACTAGGGACAGAGTGAGGGAGGTGGTGACTAGTGACAGTCACCACCTCCCTCACTCTGTCACTAGTCACCACCTCCCTCCGTCACTGTGTCACCCCCTCCCTCACACTGTCACCAGTCATCCCCTTACTCTGTCACTAGTCACCCCTCCCTCACTCTGCCACTAGTCACCCCTTCCCTCACTCCCTCACTCTGTCACCTGTCACCCCCTCACTCTGTCACTAGTCACCCCTCACTCTAGTGACAGAGAGAGGGAGGGTGTGACTAGTGACAGTGAGTAAGGGTGTGACTAGTGACAATAAGGGTGTGACTAGTGACAGAGAGAGGGAGGGTATGACTAGTGACAGAGAGAGGGAGGGAAGGGGTGACTAGTGAGAGTGAGGGAGGTGGTGATTAGTGACAGAGGGAGGAATGGGGTGACTATCACTGTGTCACCCCCTTCCTCACTCTGTCACTAGTCACCCACTCCCTCCCTCACTCGGTCACTAGTCACCCCCTCTCTCACTCTGTCACCAGTCATTCCCTCACTCTGTCACCAGTCATCCCTTCCTTCCCTCACTCTGCCACTAGTCATCCCTTCCCTCACTCTGTCACCAGTCATCCCTCACTCTATCACCAGTCACCCCTTCCTTCCTTCACAGTGACAGAGTTAGGGAGGGAGTGACTAGTGACAGAGAGAGGGATGGGGTGACTAGTGACAGAGTGTGGAAGAGGGTGACTAGGGACAGAGGGGGTGATTAGTGACAGAGTGAGGGAGGGGGTGACTAGTGACAGTGAGGGAGCGGGTGACAGTGACAGAGTTAGGGAGGGAGTGACTAGTGACAGTCACTCCCTCCCTCTGTCACTAGTCACTCCCTCTGTCACCAGTCATCCCCTCACTCTGTCACCAGTCACCCCTTCCCTCCCTCACTCTGCCACTAGTCACCCATTCCCTAACTCTGTCACTAGTCACCCCCTCTCCCTCCCTATGTCACTAGTCACCCCCACTTACTGTGTCTCCCCCTCACTCTGCCACCACTCAACCCCTCCCTCCCTCACTCTGCCACCAGGTACCCCCTCACTCTGCCACCTGTCACAACCTCCCATACTCTTCCACCTGTCACCTTCTCCCTCACACACTGTCACCTGTCACATATGCATTCACACAGACACTATATACAAAAAAGCACATGTAGTCATCCCGACATGCACAAGTGCATTCACACAGACTCAAATACAAACGTGCATTGATACACAGGTCTTCACAATATACACATCCAAAGGAATGCTGTATTATGAGTTATATTTAACATTTATTTAATGCACATATATTTGGCCTTCAAAGGGCCTGGGATCTAATTTTGCCCGGGGGCCCCAAAGGCTCTCAGTCCGCCCCTGATACCCTTAGTTGGCCAGCTGCATGATTGGCAGGCAGCCTGACATGCATTCATACCAGGCTGGCCTTCTAATTCTTTGGGCATGTTCGCCCTTTTGGCAGGTTACGTGATTTGTGTCAGTGGCACACCCTTTTACCGTGCCCATTGACTTCCTGCTTACTGGACACTGCTGTTAGGGGTTATGGATTTACTTGAAATATGAAAACATAAATTAGTGATAGATTAGCCTAGGGTATGTGTTTTCTTATAGCTGCTGTTTTCTTTCTCTCCAGCACCATCTCCATCAGATACATGATGCTTGGGAGTGTTTTACTGTTTTTGGTCGATATGATTCTGTAATTAGGCCCGTCATAATTGTCAGCACCAGGCCCACTGGGCTCTTAATCTGGCCCTGCCTTTATGTATGTTTCTGTATGTATGTCTCTGTATGTCTATATATGCCTGTATATCTCTGTATGTATGTCTCTGTATGCATGTATGTAACTGCATGCCTCTGCATGCATGTATGTAACTCTGTATGCATGTATGTAACTGCATGCCTTTATGTCTCTGTATGCCTGTATGTCTCTGTATGTCTATATATGCCTGCATGTCTATGTATGTATGTATGTATGTATGTATGTATATTTCTGTATGTCTCTGTATGTATGTTTTTGGATGCCTGGATGTCTCTGTATGTACTATGTATGTATGTATGTATGTATGTCTCTGTATGCCTATATGTCTTTGTATGTATGTATGTGTCTGTATGACGGTATGCCTCAGTATGCATGCATGTATGTGTCTGTCTGTCTCTGTGTGTATGTATGTATGTGTCTGTTTGCCTATATGTCTTTGTATGTATGTCTCTGTATGCCTATATGTATGCAGGGACGTATTAGCCGCGAGGCAAACAAGGCATTTGCCTTGGGCGGCATTTTTCAGGGGGCGGCAAAAAACGCCGCCCCCCAAATGCCCAGGGCAGATGCCTTGTTAGCCTTGCGGCTAACTGACATCCCGAGCGGCCGGCGAGGGAGCACTTCCCATGAGCTGTCTGCTCAGCTCCCTCGCACACCGCAAAGTGAGGCTGGGAGCCGGAAGATGACGTCATATTCCGGTTCCCAGCCTCACTCTGCAGCCGACGCGCGAGGGAGCTGAGCAGTCAGCTCATGGGAAGTGCTCCCTCGCCGGCCGGCCGGCCGCCCGCCAGCGCCGCCCGCCCTGCAGCCACTGGACCACCAGGGAGAGAGACCCCCCCCAGCACTCCCAAAGGTAAGGAGGTTGGGGGGGGGGATTTAAATAAAAAAAAAAGTTAATGTGTGTCTGTTTGTGTGTGTGTGTGTCTGACTGTGTGTTTGTGTTTGTGAGTGTGTGTGTGACTGTGTTTGTGTCTCTGTATGTGTCTGACTGTGTGTGTATGTGACTGTGTGTGTTTGTGTGTGTGTTTGTGTCTGACTGTGTGTGTATGTGTGTGTGTGTGTCTGACTGTGTGTATGTGTCTGACTGTGTGTGTGTGTATGTGACTGTGTGTGTGTGTTTGTGTCTGACTGTGTGTCTGACTGTGTGTGTTTGTGTTCGACTGTGTGGCGTGTGTGTGTGTGTGTGTGTTCACTGTGTGTGTGTACGAAGTTCGACTGTAACGTATGTCTGACCGTGTGTGTGTGTGTTTGTGTATGTGTCTGACTGTGTGTGTGTGTATGTGTCTGACTGTGTGTGTGTGTATTTAGAAGGTGGGGCGGGGGGAAGGGTTGGGTGGGGGTGGCGCGGGGGGGAGGGGGGCGCCTGAGTTTTGTCCTGCCTAGGGCAACACAAAACCAGGATACACCACTGTATGTATGTATGTATATATGTGTCTGTATGCCTCTGTATGCATGTATGTCTCTGTATCTCTATGTCTCTCTATGATTATTTCTGTGTTTGTATGACAGTGTACCTGTATGACTTTGACTGTGTGCCTGAAAAACGATGACTGTGTGCCTGTGGCTTGGGAGGAGAGACACACAAAATGGACTGAAGGAAAAAAGAGCCACACAGAGGGACTGTGGTGGAGAAGGAGACAAAGAAAGGGGCTGGGGTAAGAATGAGACACAGAAAGGGGTTGAGGTAACATGATTATCCAAAAAAAAAAAAAAGAAAGGGGTTGGGGTAAGAATGAGACACAGAAAGGGGTTGGGGTAATAATGAGACACAGAAATGGGTTGGGGTAATAATGAGACACAGAAAAGGGTTGGGGTAATAAAGAGACACAGAAAGGAGCTGGGGTTAAGAATGAGACACAAAGGAGCTGGGGTTAAGAATGAGACACAAAGGGGCTGGGGGTAAGAATGAGACACAAAGGGGCTGGGGATAAGAATGAGACACAAAGGGGCTGGGGGTAAGAATGAGACACAAAGGGGCTGGGGGTAAGAGACACACAAAGGGGCTGGGGAGAAGTAAGATGCATACAAAGGAGGTTGTAAGACACACTACAGGGGGAATAAAATACACTAGAGCATAAAAGAGGTAAGAAATGCAAAGGGGGCGGGGGGGTTACAACAAGACACACAGGTGAAGATGCATTATTTTTATTTATTTTTTTGAAGGGAGGGTGGGGGGCAGCAAAATGCATCTTCC